AAGAATTTTCTAGTGAATTGTCTCAATTTCGTCAGGTCTGGTCATTTGCAAAGAAATTGGTCATCTTATCATACTGATCAAGTATCCACAGGCAGCTTTCTAACAAAATAACAGAAACGAAAATAATCCAATGAGAAGGGTTTCATTTCCGATATTTATTTAGTTTTGAAAATTTTAAAAAGAACCCTACACGAAAAGGAACACTATGCACAGGTGTAGGGGACGACTCTTTGTTTGAATGTGTTATTCGGGTAGAGATTTCCAAAAGACTCTAAATTTCTCACAAAACTAATATTTTTATTTTTTTTAAATTAGACTATCACCTCCCGTAATAGTGAGATTTTTATAGAAAACATTCTGTATCTGATGTCCGATAACTCATTTACTTGGCTATTAATATTTTAACAAATTAAAAAACACTTTACAAACTACTTCTGTAAAGATTGTAAGAACGATGATAAATAAAATAATATCTAAATAATATACAATAAAAATTATTTATAAAAATAAAATAAAATAAAATAGGGAAGACAAAGAATAAAAAAGAAATGAAAATAACTATTTGGTAACTAATTATTTCCTAAAAATAGTAAATATTGTACATCATCAACCAAGAACTGTAGCCGATACCGGAAAGATTTTGGCGCTGTACTAGTTTCCCTTCATTTATTTTGCTTTGATATGCTTTTTTGAGTAACTAATTAAGCTGAAACTCAGACCCAAATACTTTGCTACATTTTTCTCAATGTGCTAAATGATAACTTGTTAAGTACTTAAAACTTTAATTAGGCATCTAATTTGTACTGCAGCACTATGAGCCATCAAATTAAAAAAAAAAATTATTATAAAAAAGTATTACAAAAATTGCCAAGGAGGCTATGTATGTGGGGTAAACGAATGTGCACATTATATTTTGGACCAATGCAGTTCAGTATTTTCAAGAAAATTTTATTTTAAAGAAAAAAATTCTTCCTGTTTTTTAACAAACGTTCGCAACATTGCTCTTTTATATGCACATATATTATAAAATATATATTCTACAAAATATTATTATATATCGGAATATTTAAACCAATTATTCTACTCACATTCTTTATTTTTATCCATTGCTGGTTGTAGTGGACTTGAGTCCACAATTGCTTTTGGTGGCGATTGTCTGGGATCGTAAGTATCCGAATTATTACCATCATCGCTACTACCCAGGAATGATGCATTCAACCGTTGTTCACCTTAAATAAATTCAAAATGTTTTGCTTAAAATTTAATATTTTAAAACTCATCGTTTATGTAAATTAAGTTCTTAAGTAAAATCTTAATCACGCAACCAAAAAATTTCATTTATAAAGTGTTAAGTTTACAATTACTTTTGCACTTTTACATTAAGACCGAAAAGCTTTCGGAAATTCTCATTTAAAATTCGCGCGCTGTATATTTTCCGATATTTTAAGTTTATGTAGTTTGGCAGCACTGTCCTTAATTACTATGCCAAAAATGAGCGCGATCTGTCAGACAGTTCGTTTACGGCAGCTGTTGAAACCAGTTCACCTCAGTAGGGCGTTGCGAAAAAAACAATGGAAAAAAATATTGAACAAAGAGTTTGCATCAAATTTTGTGTTTCGAACGAAATTTCGTGTGCAGAATCGTTGCGAATGCTACAAAAGGCTTATGGGGAATCAGTTTTATCGAAAACTCAAGTTTATGAGTGGTACAAAGCCTTCCAGGACGGTCGTACGACCGTCGAAGACATTTCGCAACGCACTACTGAGGTGAACTGGTTTCAACAGCTGCCGTAAACGAACTGTCTGACAGATCGAGCTCATTTTTGGCATAGTAATTAAGGACAGTGCTGCCAAACTACATAAACTTAAAATATCGAAAAATATACAGCGCGCGAATTTTAAATGAGAATTTCCGAAAACTTTTCAGTCTTAATGTATATCAACTGCACTTGAGCTGTGCTTGACTACTAACCTTCCGACATATCTTCGTACGCTTCGTGTAGTAAGATAACGTCTTGAAATGAGTGCTCAAAACCTTTTCCACTCAATTGTGATGTAAACAAACCGTTGCAAGATGAATCTGAGATTATCTCAACAGTTGCTGAACCGGGTGATGAGAATGTTGCAAGTAGTGAGCCACCGAGACTGTGTAATGACGGTGACTTGGAAATTGCTTTTGTTTTTTGTGCTTTTAAGGACTTCAATGCAGATTTTGCTGCTGCTGAAGTTGGTGATGCTGTTGTTGCTTTTGAGGATATTGATGATAGTGAAGTGGCTGTTGCTTTTGAAGCTGCAGAGGATTTCGATGAATTCGACGATGCAGATGACGATGATGAAGAGGATGACGACGATGAAGACGAGGAGGAACTTGAAGATTTTTTTGACGATACAGTTGATAATATTGAAAAATTTGAAGCTATTGATGATGCTGGTGATGCAGAAGAGGAAGATAAAATTGAATTGCTATTCAATTGTATGGCGTGACTATTGTGATGATTTGTGGTATCTACAGTAATCTGCGTAATTCCGTTACTATTATTATTATTATTAATTGTATTATTATTTACAATTCCTTGCGATATTGGCGTTATTGTTGTATTTGGCACTGTTGTTATTATATCGTTGGAATTTGTAGACGTTTGAAACCAACTTGGAAAACTGCCCTTAAGCGTGTCAATAAGATCCTGATCGAGCGTTAAACGCCACGATACAGGGCCGTCCACGCCGTGCGTAGACTCTGCAATAAAAAAGTAAAAAAATTTAATTGATGGCAATATTTTCGAATTTCTTCAATAAAATAAATTGATAAACAATTTTTCGTTTAAATATAGGCCATATAAATAAATCATTTACAAGTTTTTAAAGTTAATACATAAAAATATAAATACAAAATAAGAAAATAAAAAATAATTGAAGAATAAATAATACATAATTATAAAAGTATAATAATAAAAGAAATAAATTTTTATTTAAAATAATTGATTAATTCAAAACAAATAAACAAAGAAATATATAAAAAATATAACTGAATACAATTAAAATTGAAAAGAATGGAAAATATATAGATATCGAAGAATATAGAGTGAAGATAAAGAAAAGTTAATATTTAATTAAGAATAATAAATAATAAATAAAAAATAAAAACTCAGAAGTTATGAATAAATATTCAAACACTTAATACAAAGAATAAGGATTACATAATAATAATTAATTATAAATAATAATAAGTAAAAGCGAATGAGAGGAGGAAATAAAGAAAAAAGAATTTAAGTACAAATAATAGGGAATAATGTACAAATAATAACAAATAATTAAGATTAGAATAAAATTGAGAATTAAGGATAAAAAAATAAGGAGTAAAAAACGAACAACAAAGAACAAAGAATAAGACACACAAAGAAAAAAGAACAATGAAGGAAGAGTGAAAAATAAAGTTAAAAAATCGTGTTACTAAGAGCAAAATTGGGAATATAGGATACAAAATATATAATAGATAAAATAAATAAAGTTCAGAAAGTTGAAAAAAGTTGACATTTAAGAAGAAGGAATATAATTTTTAAAGTAAAAAATTAAAGCAGAAGAAAATAATTTTTAGAAATAAAAAATAAAAAACAAAAAATAAGAAATAAAAATTTAAAACAAGGAATTAAACAAGAAGGAAAAAAAGAAAAGAAAAAACGAAAAGAAAAAAAGAAAAGAAAAAAGAAAAGAAAAAAAGAAGAAAAAGAAAAGAAAAAAAGAAAAGAAAAAAAGAAAAGAAAAAAAGAATATAAAAAAAGCAGAGAGTAGAAACTTGAAAAGAAAGAAAAAAGAATTATTAATAAGGATAAAGAAGTAGTACAAAAAAATACCTATAACTATAAAACCGTTTACATCATTTACTTAAATAATTAAGCCACATATATGCAATATCACCGATAAATGGATCACGCTACTATATGATATTCCTATCAACTACGTAGTTAAGCCTATCCACTTTACATACGTTTGCCGGCATTATTTAAATTAAATCATATGTAAACATTACAGTTCCAGCTAACAGCACTTAAAAAGCAAAAACAAAACAAAATTTAAAACAACACGACAAACTTAAAATAATTGAACTTAACTACATTTAACAAAATTTTTCTAAAAAGAAAAAACTGTATAAACATTTTCAATGCTGACAATACTCTTAATAAAAATTATTTAACCATAAATATATTTCATATCAAACAGTCAAGCATTCTTAGAAAAATATGGTCCATTATTTGTGGTTCAATTATATTCTAAAGTAATTGAAAAACAGCTATCTCTAAGTGGGATGAAAGGAAATTATTTGAATTTTATCAACCGTTTTTTGATTTATATTACGTTCGCTTAAATAAGTTCTGTTTTATATAGCCCCAGTGCGTATGAGTGACAATCATGCAAATTTATTTTAATTTTTTTTTTGAAAAAATTATTTGAAAAATGAAGCACTACTTATAGTTCTGTTTTAAGTTTTTTTGTTATTAAAGTTAAATTTGAATTGCACCATTAATACAATTAAATAATTGTACTGCAGCCACAATTAAAAGCACGAAAAATAATACCACAAAAATGATATTTAAATATGACAAATACAAGTACCGCAAGGCAACCACGCATCACTTACGATGCATTTATATATATATTTATTTTTATTTTTTTTTGTTTTTTGCATATTAAAAAATATGATTTTCACAGACCGAAAATTACAGAACGGCAAAGTTTTAACCGCGTTGAAAACAGAATTATTCTCATTTCTGCTACTACAAAGCACTTTCATATTAAATTAACTACAAGTGCAACATAAAAAAGGAAAACTTTATTTTCATTTTTAATTTGCATTTTATTTCGTAAAAAAAATGTTGACTAATTAAAAATGTATAAAATTTTAACAAACATATTTTTATAAAAAATTTTTATTTTTGGTTTCTTTGCTTGTAACATATAATATTTATATAATTGAGTAAAATTATTTTTATGAATTTATTTCAGAGTCCGCTGAAGTGCAAGTCAAGTGTTTCAATGCGAAAAATTAATTTTAATATTTGTAAAGATATGATTTATTTATATATGATTTATTTTAAAATATTTATTTAATATTTAGTTTTTATTAGGACCACATTTACTTGCTTATTTGAATAATTAACTGCAGTCATCATGATTGTACATATATGGTATATATAAGTCACCTTTTATGACTGACATGCCTTACTTAGGAAATATTCTAACGCTTATTCCGAAAAGGGATGGCCTAAGTACTCTATGACTTAATAAAAATAAACTTTTGATCTAACGGCTACATTTTATTTTGGACTAAATAAAAAAAGAGAACATATGATTTAAAAAGCGAAAAAGAATTACAAACAAAAAAATATATTTTTCGACTGATACATTTAAGACTTAATAAGAAGAGACTGCACATATCATTTAAAAAGCTAAGTATATTTCAAAAAAAAAAACAATAATAATAATAAAGGTGATTTAATGGAAGTTTATATTACACAAAAGCTGTGATTTTTATGAAATTATCAATAAAAAATATAAAATTTTATAATATTAATTATATTTTTGAAAACTATAATTAAAAGTTTATAACCAATAACCAGAAAACTCTTAAAAACTTTTTACACTTGTTGAAAAGGAAAATAAATTAATTGCCTTAAAAATTATTTGAGAGCATTCTTGAAAAGAAACTTTAATGAGTTCCTTAAGAATATTCACAACAAAAGTGTTCATTGTGAAATTGCAATATATATACGAGTATAAAATTCTATATAAAATTTTTGTTCTTACTACAGCTTGTGCTGGTACCAAAAGTTAAGTATTTTTGGCTTATTTTAAGTGGTCTTATTGACCATAGAAAACCCAAAAACCTACTTTAAAAGTCGTTGGAAGCAACCAAGTATGAGCGCTTTATGTACGTAAATGAAGCAAAAGTACTTACGAGAACTGAAATTGGAAAATAGAATCTGTACAAATGTAAGAAAAATAAATTTAAAAATGTAAAAAGTAGAAAAAAGTTAGAAGAAAAGTAAAAATAATAAATAAAACAATAAAAAATAGAAAATACAAGATAAAATTTGCACAAATTTAAGGCACTTGAATAAATTTTGTATTGTTGGGACTGTAAATAAATAGAAAAAGTGTTAAGAGAAGTGCTAAAATTGTTGCTTTAAAATGGAAATTTTCCAATGAAAACTTAAAAAAGATTTAAAATCATTACTTTAGTGTAAAGTTCATATTATGGGTACTCAATTATTGAAAAATTTAATTATAAAAATTAAATTAATTACATATTGGGTACAGTATGAAATTAAATTGAAATAAAATTTAAAAAATTTAAAAATATATTTTTTAATTAAGCATTAAACTTAATAAAAATTGAAAAATTTGTATATAAATAGTTTTTAAGTGAATTTTAGGTTTTTAAGATAAAAAAATATATATTTATAAGGAGGACCAAACTACGAGTATAATAAAATAATTGTATTCTCAGAAGTCAAATTAAATAAAATATTTCAAAATTTTTTAACAAAGATGTGGGTTTAAAATAAAAAACTAGTACTGAAATATTATGCATTTTGTGCAAAATATTCTATTTAATTACGATTTTTTTAATAAGCAAAAATTAATGAAGAATTTAAGTTATAAAATATCAAACGAAAATTAAGGAATAGTTTAAGTAAGAGAAACATTTATTCGAACTTTCACTTTCTTAAACAAAAAAACAAAATATTTTCTATTTAATTGGAAGATAATATTTTACAAATTAGAAAATATTTTAGTGAACTAAAATGAACCAACAAATTGCAGTTGAATTTTCAAACTTTCAATGGAGAAGTATACTTAAAATATCTGAATAACATATACAAAAACCATTATAAGAAAATAATTTTGTTAGTTTTTTATATCATTATTTTCAGTATTAATAAGGATACAAGTTATGAAAAATCAAACTGACCTCAAAAAAAAAGTTAATCAAAATACCCTCGATATCTTTGAAATAATTTTTTTAATTAGCTAATATCGTATATAAGTTTTTTCCATTAAATATTCGTCGATAGATGTATCATTTGACTGAAATAATTTTAGGACTTATGTTGTCTCAAAGTTGGTTCCGACCACTTTTGTGGAAAATTTCATTATTTTCATACTATTTGCAATCTATTTTATGTTTATATGCGCTCAGGAAAATTTAAATACAAAACAATATAAAATAGTATGTAATATTTTTTTTAAAGTATTAATATTTTATCAATTATTATTAGCATATTATTAGCATATTACTATTGGCATATTATTACTATATTATTTTTGTTTATTTTTTATATATATTTATTTAATAAATAATTAATAATATATATATAATTAATAAATATTTAATAAATAAATATATTTATATTATATATATTTATATTATATATATTTATAAATAAGTATTTTTATTCATAAATTTATAAATTAAGGATTTATATATAAATCCTTAATTTATTCTTAATCCTGCAATTGTCATTTGAAGTAAACTAACTACTAAGTTTAGTCAGTATAATGCATGTACAAAAATTGAAATTTTTAAAGCGAAAAAATAATTTCATAACCAAATAACATATTGCAAAATCGATATAAATTTCAATAATATTAAATAAATAAATATACAAAAACAAAATAAAAATAAACATTTAATAAAATATAAACACTTAAAACAAAAATATTTCTTTTTATATTATTATTTTATTTTGTTTTGTATTTAACCCGGAATAACATAAATATATAGAAATATTTAAATTTTCTTGGGCGCATATGAAAATAAAATAGATTGCAAACAGGTGGTACTATTAAAGTCGGGTCAGCAATGCCATTAATGCCAAAATTCATTCGCAGCATCACCCACTGCATCATCTTATGAGCAATTGTTGAATGCAACGCCCATTTCGACTGATTCACTCAAACCAAATGGGACTAGTAAAATATTTTTAAATATTTTTTGTTTTTTCTTTTCATTAGAAAATATATAGGTTGGTTGCATTTGGATTTTGTGGTTAAGTACACTCTACGGAATAGCATAAATTGACCAGAATTGTCAGTTTGACAATATCAATTACAAGTACAAGATGCAAGGACAATAATAATTCTCTTATTAGGATTGTAATGCACCATATTTGAGATTTTTTCAAGTTTTGTTACTACAAAATCAATTTGAATCAATTTCGTTGTTTCCTTCTATTTTTACAATCTACTTAAAGTCACAATTCTCATAGGTTATCAATCAATTTAGAGCCTCAATAACTCAACATAAAGCAATAATGTTAGTAGCAATTCCTGAAGCAATTATGGAGCACATCAATCATGAATGTTGGCGAAACAAAAAAAATTGTTTAAAAAATTTATTTTTATACTGACAAGCGATGAAAAATTGAATTTTAATGAAGTATTTCTGTGAAAACATCCAAAGGTAGACACAAATTGATATTAATAAAATCGTAGCAAATTTGACAATATTGATAGCAGTGAAAATTTAAATTTGTTGAATCAAAATTACTTTCAAAATGATGATGTCTTCGCGTTTTAAATACTACAATAAATTTTTATATTTTATTTATATAATAAATTTTTTATATGGTAATAGGGGTGGTACTGATCTAAAGTTATAAACGTCTTATAAACCATATAAACGTATAAAAACTCGTTTACACAAACTTAATAAATTTACACGATAATTTTACCGTATAAATTAATATCGTATAAATTTACACAGAAACAACAGCTGTTGTTAGTGTTATACAAAAAATATTCAAAGAATATAACACCATTATTGAGAATAGAGGTAATATAAAAAAACATTATATTCAATCGGCAAATGAAACCCATTATCTTTTTCATCTATTTTTTCATTTTTTCTTATATAAATAATATATATATATGATATATAAACACTTATTTATTATTTTTTATATTATTTTTAATAAAAAGCAAATAAAACCTGTAAAGTTTTACTAAAGGATGTTATTGAAAAACTTATCGGTTCAATTTTTTCAATTAAAATCTTAACCAAAATAGTCAAAAAAATGCTTTGCCAATCCTAAAGTTCACTTTCAAATGTGTCATTTCTCACGTAATTATCTGCCAATTAACGATCGATATTTCAAGTATTAATGAGTAAAAAAAAAATTTCTTTTAAATAAAAGAATATGTACATTCATCCAAAACTAAAAATAAGAAGAGGCAATTTGTGCAAGTGGTCTAAAGTCGACAATAAGACGACTGACTGCTGACTGACTGACGACTCATCTAAAGTAGTAGATACCTCAAACTATTTGCGCATAGAGTCACATCACAGAAATGAATGAATGAATGGATATAAAAATGTTTGATTGTACCACTGAGTGAACAATCTATGAAAATGCCAATACCAAACATCAAATACTCAAGATAACAATAAGAAACAAAACATTTAAATAAAAAAAAAATATAAAAATTTTGTACTATTTGAAAAATGGGGGCAACTTTGTTGTGCTCCCAATTTGCTAGGCCTCATCAGCCAACGAACAACACTTAGAAGAATTTTTATAAGAATTTTGAAAAATATTTAGCCAATAGATTTAAAACAATATAGCAAAGTGTTACTTGACTGACGTAAAAATTAATTTTATTTTTTTGTTTTAAATCTAACTTTTAAAGTAATTTTTAATTTTAAAAAAAGTAAAATAGAAGATAAATTCATTGAAAAAAAAATATTTCAAAATATTTTTGTAAAAATCATGTGCTAAGTGCGGCACTTTAATTTATGATTCATCAATGAAAATAAAGCGGGAATATTTTAAAAATATTAAAAGTTCAACATAAAAAATATTAAATAGAAAAGTTTATTTTTTTTTTTTTAAGTTCATGTGAAAAAGTATCTGCAATTCTTTTTAAAACAAATATTATTACAGCATATTGATTTTTCATGTTATTTCTTCATTCCTCTTGTGACCGTTATTGAAAAGTACATTTTCATGTATAAAAGCAACAAGTTTTAACCTTACAGAAACCTTTGTAAGCTTGAAGAGATTTAAATATTCTTTCAGTTCAGTGTTTACATTTCTAGAGAAATCATAGAATGTCAGTAAAAACTTCGAATGGAATTGTCATATATATATGAAAACTGTATTTTTTTAGTTTCATTGATTTTAAGACTTACAGATATTCTTTGAAATCAGTTTAAATATACAATAACAAGAAAAATTTTGCTTGTAATTCCATATAATTTAATTTTAAATTTAATAGATGAAAACGACCATATTTGATTAACTATTTTCACGGACGTGATTTATTCAAAAAAAAAAATTCTTATCATATATTAATGTAATTCAAGCCTACTTAACTTACATCTTTATATTTTAATGAAATGAAAATGCAAAAAAAAAATAAAGTTAGTTCTACTTTCCATTAACAATAAACCAAATCCCCTTGTTTTTGGTAACACATACATCCAGAGCTCAACTTAGTTCAAATATATGCAATAAAGTTCCAATGTATAAATTTATAGCCCTAAAAAGGACAAGAAAAAAGAACTAACCAAAATATTAGATAGTAAGAATATATGAAAAAAAGTGCCAGCTAAAAGCACTGAAAACACGAAAAAATAATTTCGCAAGAACAAACTACAAATATTTTTTATGTTAGCAATACTTGTAATA